GTGAAAGGATTCTTCCCTGGAATGATGCCAAGACTTCTCAAAATGTAGCCAGCTGGCTTCAACAGAAGTTGCATTTCTGTGTTTTAAATTGTGCCTCATTGCCTCTAACAGAAGTAGTATGTTCTTATTTTGGGCTTGGAGTTCCCCATTGGTGTCACAAGTGACCAGTTGAATTGCCTTGCGTTACTGTTACTAGAGAAGTTTATCCATATATGGCAAATGTGTATCCAGCTAATTTCTTAGCACCTTTGCATAGATTGTACTTTGAATATATTCTGTTTGTGTGCTTAGCGATGGAGGTAAGTTGTTCACCCTGTTTGCCCTGCTACCTAATAATTTGATTGTGTCCATGCTACTCCATAGTGCACTTTCTTCATTTGCATTTGTGTATATTAGCTCAGTGAGTGCAGCTTATGGCTAAGCTTTTTGGGAAAAGGTTCCTAGCTGCAAGTGGTTGTCCTTAGCAAGCAGATGGGACTGACTCTTTGCTGTGTATGAATTGAGGTAGAAATAAACTGACTGCAGCGTGATTCTTTTCCTGTTGATGCTCCTTATTGGCTCAACAGCCTTCATCCTGTATGTTTCTGAATGTGAACTCTTCATGACATCAGCTGTCTTCTTGCTACTGAGCCCCCGGTATTGATCTCTCAGGCAAGAGAAAAATGAAACTTCCAGTACTAATGGTGTCTCATTCTGACATAAAAAATGACTCCTAGTGACTCCAGTGATCTTAAGGCACTCCTTGATATGTCTTCAAGGATGAGTGGTCAGCTATAATTCAGCCATACTCGCTAAAAACAAGTAACTGAACTGGAAGATGAGTGTTACCAGCTGTTGAAAAGTTTCCACATGGCCTTTGCCTGGCAGGAACAAAGGACTGACTGGTAATCCCTTCAGTAGAAAATATTTGGACAGAGATAGATGTTGAAAAATTTCTTTCTGATACCTGTATTTTAAAGGTGAGGTTCTGAAGTGCAAGTTTTGTTTTCTGTTAACAAGAACAGTGTTTTTTTCTTCAGGGAAAATACCAAACCAGGATCTCTTCAGGATGTTGTTTTCATCTCCTCTCTAATACTCACTCTGGTACTTCTTTTCCTTTCTTTTACTACATTCTGTCAAAAAGCAGATGATACAGCCGTGGCAGCAGTAGTACTTAACTCCTAAATCATTTGGGATTGGCATACCCAGCCTCCGCCTCTCTGTCCCTGAGCTTTGCACTATTCAGTTGATGAATAGCTGAACACCAGTGTGCAGGCCACAAACCTGAATTACCCTCTGCTCCATGCATGCCTTTGCTTGCCAGATGTTCCTGATGACAGTCCAAGTACAAACCAGTGTTTTACTCAGTGCACTGATCCAAGGCCTATGGCTTTAGCATAACATGGAGAGAGTCTATGTGACTGTTGAGATGCACATGAAGAGATTCTGATGCAGAGCAGGAAACCCTATATGTGCGTAACATATGGGGTGTTATGCTTAAACTCAAGTGGAAGGGATTTTCTTAAATCTTTTCAGCAGAAAGACCTCAGTAAAACTTGATAGAAATACTTTCCTTAAGTACATACCCATTTTTCCACTGTACAGGATGATGAAAGTAAAATATTTTGAAAAGTCCAAATCAAATAAAACAAAATAAGCCAATTTTCTGTATTTTATGTTTTGTTGTAAAAACATTTTTGAAAGTGCAAAATAAGTACTACAATATAACATGGCAATTCTTGTTTATTAAAAACTAAGAAAAAAAGCACAAACAAATGCTTAAGTGAACAGAATTCATATGAAATATTGCTGCCTTAAATTTGGTAATTTGACATTGAAAAAACCCGCATTTTATATTGGATAATTGCACATAAGATGTGTTCCCTGTCCCATTTCAACCACAGAGTATCAAGCTTCACTGTCATCTGCTCCATTGAGTTCTGTTTGTTCTACTTAGCTGCCATTTTGGGTAGCCATTATGCTCATCTTTGCAGCATTATTTTAATCCTGTATCCTAAATATTCTGGGAAATCTGAATTCAGCTTCCATTGGTTTTGGAGTAAAAGTACTTTTTGAAATATTACTAGGAACAGCATTTGAACTTCTATCTCTATGCTTTCTTTTATTTTTCTCATTTTAAAACAAGAATTTCTCTTGCAGGAGCTGCTTCACAGTTGTGTGCGTCTCAGACTTTTCTTTCTATTCATTTGGTATTGTATTCCAGTGGTGTCATTCTCTCTGTGATAGGTGATATTTTATATATATATGTGTATATAATTTTTTAACATATCATTGGAAGATACTTAAAGATTTCTCCACATGTATTCTATTAACAGATGTAGAGAATTTTCTGTAAAAAATCAGAGAGGTCAAAACTTTATTGACAGGAGTACCTATGGGAGACTTTATAGAAGATTGTGTTTATCTATTCTAATATTTTTCTTCTCCGGAGGAGATGAAAGTTCACTTTCACTAAATCTGACATGCTGGCTATACCTCTGTCAGAATAATATCAATGGATTTCTTGATTTGTAAGTCAGAGAGACTTTGAATCCCAAAGAGAATATGACTTTTAAACATCTGTCTTTGGGGTTTGTTTTATTGTGACTCCAGCGTACCTGGTCAGCCACTGTCCAGGACTAATACGGAGAAATGGTTGTCTCTGTGCACCTCTCATTGTTATTCACCAGCAGGGTAGTCATCGGAGGGTCACGTTACAGTTCATTCAATCAAGCCGTGGCTGTAGCAATAGCCCGCCTCAGGTCGGTACCATCTCTTGAGATTTGTAGGGCGCTACCAGAAGTGATCTGCATAATGTCCTGTAGCATTAGTGCCTTGATACTTTGTAGCAAATATTTCAAAGGCAACAAAGCTTCTTTCCCAATGACAATCCCATTCTCTTTCCTCTTACTGCCCTGTTGCAACTATTTGCGTATACCTGCTAACTTCTAAGTTCATGTTCACTCAGCTGTAAACAACACCTAATGTGTATTATTACCTTAGATTCAGTTATTGAACAAATTTTGTTTTCATATTTCTTTTTTTGTGTGGTTATTTGATTCATTGCTTGTAATCGTGGTGGGAACCTCTGCTTTCTACATTTGAGATAATCTTCAAAAGTGTTCTTTTATGCTGCAACAGATGTTTAAGTTGGGCTGAAATAAATCATAGCCAAGCATATCTGCTTGATACTGCCTAGATAAACAGTGGCTATATCTGAATTGGTTGTATTGGGCAGACTAATGAGGGATTTATATTACTTTCCCTAAGAATATGTATAATTCAAAATTTTGAGATAGAACACACTGGAGCAGAGATGTGTGGTTTAGAGATGCAAGCGAAGTACTTTTTTGAGTAATTGCTGCTTTTTATTCTAAACAATGCTAGTGACTCATAAATGACATAATTTATAGTCAGAAATTAGTCCTGTTTGGAAGTTGGATTTTCCCCAAATCTTCTCAGAGATAAAATAAGAAAGAAAGAAAGAAGGGAAGAAAGGAAGAAAGTAAGGAAATTTAATGGCATCCTTTTATCAAAGTGTTTTGATACAGTATCACAGTTATAAAATACTTAGAAAAGATCTGAGCTTCGAGTGAGAGCTGTGTTGAAATTAGGTGCCTTTTTCTGTGTTGATTTCTGTGTTGTTCCATATCATGTGTAAGAGAGCTTTTTTCCTTTCTTTTCTCTTTTTTCTCTTTTGTTGAGCAAAGCTTAGAAATTGCAGAACTACTGAAAGCAGAGCTGCTCTGTTCACACATCTGGCTTATCCAAACATTCTTTTACCTGCTGCAGCACTTCAGTTCTTAACTCCTTCTTTACCCAACTATATGAAAATTGTTTTAAGAGCATGCTATTTGGCTTATTCTCATTTCACAGCCACAAACAAAGTAGGAAATCATAATTATTTGTATTCTCAACTAACATAAGCAGAGTTTGGAAATAAAATTAATTTAGTTTTGCCAGTGGTAAATTTAGCTTCCAAATCTATAGATTCTTGGTGCACTTTTTTTATCTCATAGGTTCTTTGTCATCGTGTAGGGAATATATTTTTCAAACAACCCTAGAGAGAAGCAGTATGACAAGTAGTTAGGCGAGTTTTAGATCTCTAATCCAAATTAATAGGGTTTTTTAATAACCTCTTGTGTTTTTGTGCATGTTCTTTTTTTAATGTGCTCTTGTGACAGAGGCAATTTATATAGACAATCTCATTCAGTAATTTTGAATTGTGAATAATGCATTTCGTAATGCTACTTAGAATTGGGATTTGCAGTGTTTCTATAAATATTAGGGATGGTGTGTACTCATTTAGCTAGCTGATGAGACATACAAAGTGCCAACTGAATATGTTTTTTCTTCAGATCCTAAAGGAGATCTAAGACTTTAAGCCCCCCTGCTTCCCAGGTTTGTTCTGAGCTCAGTACCTTGGTGGGCTTTTTATGCCAAAAGTTAAAATTTCAGTTGATCCTTAATATGTAAGAGTGTTAAGGTATTAAAAAACAATAACGTAGATGGAAAACTGAAAGCATTTCTTATTAGCGTTACTTTAAATGTTTTCAATGATGTAAAATTAATGGGTGGTGCTTGCAGGGTGTTCTCTTTGGTTCTTTGTCTCCATCATAAGTTGCTACCTTAGATCTGTTTTGAAAGCTCCCGGTGTCTTTGAGGTCTCACTGGTTCAAATACTTCTCCAGTAGAGACTGAATGCGTAAGGGTTTTTGCTCGCTCTGCTTCTGTCTTTCAACCTGTTGATATCTTATAGAGGCTCTTTGTGTTTTATTGATTGAAGTTTTGGTTTTGTACACAAAAATAATAGCAAATTGTTTATATAGATCAAGTTTTCATTTATGCCTGATTTGTAGGTTATCATTTTCTCCTTACATTTCCTTGAATATGTAGGAGAACTTGATAGTGTTTGGCTTCTGGGTAAATTAATAGCCCTTCATTTTCATTATATGGCTATTGCTGTAAGATTTGTGAAAGCTGATGAAAATTAGCATTTTCACTATTATTTGTTTTTAAAGGGAACTCTGAGGAAGTTTATGATAACCAGCTTAACGTGGCCTACTGCTTCGACGACTCTGAGGAGAAACAGTTAAGGAATTACTTTTATGAACAATGCTTTAACACTGCTCAACTAATAAAAACTGATGGTGGGAAAAGACAAGCGCAAGCACATGCGTATATGGGCCTTATCAATGAGGAACAAGGTGAGTCACTGTGGTCATAATGCTACATTGCATCAGCATTGAGACAGTCATATTTTGTAACCAATATTTTGTTACAGGGCACTTAATCTCAGTGTAAATTTGTTTGGAGCTGTAATTTATAAGAAGTTTCAAAGCTTTTGCAATTGTAGTTTCTGGAGCAGCAAATACAAAGATAATAAAGTCTATGATTATTCATAGACCTGTTTCCTTTGCTAACTTTCCATCTACAGCCAGTAGAAAAGCAAAATGTAACTTTAAAGGAAGCATTCTTTTTCCACAAAGGTTCTTTTTGTTCAACCTTGTGTCTTTTTGCTAGCTTTTGTCAGGAGACCGATAATGCTGCTTCAAACCACAAATCATTGCCATAGTGTTGTTTGGTTCCCCTTAAATTCCATTTCCCCATATGTCTCTGTCCTATAAATAATTTGTTTATATATAATATTAGATATTAATTGATGTAACTGTTTGCCTTATTTTACATGCTTTTTTAAAAATAGATTACCTTTCGTGGCAGACAGCTTTGGTTGTGTACAGCAGGGTATACATGAGAAAGATTTTCCTACATTTCTATCAAATCTTCTCATTTTGTGGGAAGCGAATCAGTGAGTGAGCCCCAAGTAGCTGAATAAAATGTTCCAGTTCTAGTTCCTCAGTGTACTGAACTGCTGACCACTTATTCAAATATGTGACTTACATGGCCATTATGTTCTTGTTTATAAGTTTTACCTTTTGTGGTTGACTTCTCAGCTAGAATGGCTTTTCTCAGGGAAAAAAACATAGATTAAGAGAAACTGAAATGTTGTGTGAAAATAAGGCGACTCTATTAACTTGATAGAAAAATAAAAATAAAAATAAAACCTGACAAAATGGTTACATTTTGAACAATGGCCTCATTTTCCAGCAAAAGCCTGGACATGAAGCATGAACTGCAACCTCTTTGTTGTTGTTGGAAAGCCTTTGACATGACTTTTTCCCCCATTTTCCCTTAAAGCTAAAAAATCCCACCTTACTCAGTATTTCCTTGTGTCATTCGCACTGTTTTCTTTTGAACCTGTAATATTTTTTTTGCCTGCCACAACCAGAGCTCAACTGAGTTTTAAAATTTGAATTCATGCACCAGTAACAGATAAAGTAGCATTTCTTTTCTTACAAATATTATTACTATTGTATGAATATTTGTGTTTCCGAGTATGATGTTTTATTCTGACACTGAACTAATGATAACTCATGTTTACATAGGACTTCCCAACCAATTTGTCCTCACATAACAGTAATTACAGGTGAACTGTGCTTCCTTAATGCTTTACAAGCAAGTTATGGCAGTGAGAAAAACTTCACTAACTTAAATATAAGTTTGTTCTGTTGACATTTACTCTTCATGTATTGGTTTTAGTTATTGTACATTTTCATGGTGGTTTTTTTTTTCCTAAAATTTTGGGAATACTCTGTTTGATTATTCATTCTAGCTTTATTCCAGGAATCTGGCGTCCCAGCAGATAACACTTGCTTAAAACCCAGCCAGTCATGACCAAGTCATTTTCATTTTGAGTGAAAAATGCTTAATTAGGTTATCTGATCCTCAATAGAATAAAACGATTGAAGTTGCTGGATTTATTGGTAACCTTTTCATCCCGTCCTTCAGTTACTGAAAAATAAAATGTTAAGAAGAAACATAAAAGCAAACATTCCTATCTATCTTCAAAGAATCATACTGATTGTGACTGGCACACACTGCCAACATTTTTTTCACTACTTCCTACTTTTATTATGTGTTAAGCAAAAGTTGTTGAATACTTAAATATCTTTAAGCCTTCAGTTCCATTGCAAAAGCGTAATAAGTAAAGTTATGCAGTATGCTTTGAGATGTTCAGTGGAGGAGAAATTTCATTTTCCTGCTGTAAAATATTAGAAACTTCTGGAAGAGAGGCTTCGTATTAACAGTGGTAAGGAGGAAGAAAACGAGTTGCATTCTTCTCTGGGTGGGGTAAAGCTCCAGTGAATCTGTAGGGTCTGTCCTTTGCAAATATTTTATTTCCTTAGAGACAGGTGAAAAAAAAATGAAGAAGCATGGAGTAGGCATAGAATTTGCTTTGAGGAATCCCAGAGAAAAAGACAGCAGATGTTTTCCTTGCACTTCATATTTGTGAAGAGTGAAAAATTAAATCTTAAGTTTGGACTGCTGAAAAAGTGTAAGAGCAGATGCTGAGTTGGGGTTTGTACAGGATTGAATAAAATTACATGAGTATTAATGGTTTAGAAGTAAAATTCTGAACGTGTTGCTTTTTATATTAAAACGAATAGATATTGCTTGTAAATTATATGACTTTTTTTTTTCTTCAGTTATTTATAGTGGTGTAATCTGATTTGACTGTGAACTGAGTGAGTGAGATGCCTGCTATCTATGGCGATATATACAAGAACAGATACATATTTGTAGAGGTGTATGTGTACATGAATATATGTATACAGGAATGTCTATGTATACATATATAGATGTGGCTTCTGTACTTTAGATATTTGTAAGTATTGAAAGTCTATGAGAATGCTTGTTTGTGTGTATATCTGTGTGAATGATTCCTAATATTTGCACAATATTTTCAACCAATTTAATTCATCATATCTATTTTAACTGTATTTATTAATACTGCAGTTGTGAAAATAGGAAAATTTTATAAGAATGAGATGGTAGTCTGGCCCAGTTGGGTAAGGGAACTGGTACAGGATTTTATATCTAGAAGCATGAACACATGAATGTCTGCTTTTATTACTTGTGAAAGGAAGCTATGCATATATGCTTAAAAGTATAAAAACAGTAATATATGAGTGATCTGCTACAGATACAAATAGAAAACTGTCTTTGGAGCACATTTGATTTCAGTGGTTGTTCTTTGCAGAACGAGATTTTTAGTTCTTGAAAAAACTGCATTTGTAGAGTAAGTTCTCTCTGTTTATGAGCTACCAAAATGAGAGACTGCTGTAGAAGAGTTCGCATTATGATACTGTTCAATCAGCTGTACTCACCCCGCAGTTTGTCTTTCCTCAGGGAGCTGATATTTCATTGTTTTATTACTTTGGTTAGTAGTCATTTTCTCATATAGGAATTAAACATCATGATGTCACTTCATACACATTGAAGAGGCAATTCATATTCGTACGTTTTGTCTCATTAAATCCAGCATTATTTGTCATTCAAATAGGCACTGTAGCAGAATCTCAGGCAAAATAAATTTTATGTATATATATATATTCCTCTGTTTTGAATGTGTTTTTAGAAGCAATAAGCAGAATCATTGTAACTGTTTCTTTTTTTCCACATAACAGAGAATGAGATTATTATAGTCTGAGGACCCAACTGTGATAGTTCTGCCATATTAGCGTAAATTCTGCTAAGTTAATTACAAACTGCATTTACTACAGTTTTTACTGTTGTGTCTTACAGAAGAAACACAGAGTAAGTGTATTGATAAATATCATGGCTAATTTACATGCATCTTGTCTTACCAGTACTCATCATTACACTATTTGAGTGTTTTTTGTTTTGCATTTAATGATTACTCTATCATGTATGAAATGATGCAGAACTTGAATACGTGCTTTCAAAAGTTTCGGATAATTTACATGAGTGACAAATGCAAGCCAAAGGAAACAAGGTATTTGTACTTGTAGGAGCTATTCAAATAGTTTGTAACAAAATTGGAATGTGTCTATATTTAAAAACGTAATGAAAACAGACGTCTGAACAAGTGCTTGTTTCAAAAGCAGCCATCAAGGCCACTGCAAGTGTTTGTGTATTTCAGTGTACATAGGTGCATACCAATGTGTATATGTATATGTACATACTTTGTGAGACAAGCTTGAAGAAAACTAATGAGCATATCTGATGGTGTTTTTCTAATACAGATGCATAAGTGCTCTTTCTTAAAGAGCACCTTTGCAAAGAGGTTAATTAGGGGTATACACTCTGTGAGAAAGTGGAGTAGGAAGAATCCAGAATTTTGGAGGAAACAAAGAAAAATTACTTCTATATTCTTATTATGAATATCTATTCTCCCACCCTGAAATTGTGCATGGGTTTCAACATTTGCTCTTCAGACTTTACCAGTGAAAGCAGTCTTTCAGAGGTCACGGGTCATTTCCTGTGTTAGTAAATCAAACAGTGTCCAGAGGTGTCTATGGGCACAGGAGCACAGGATACTGCTGAAGTGGTCCTGCACATGCTTTTAGCTCATTCAATTTTGAACTTCCCTCCCCTGCAATTATTCATAGGCACAGCTGGGCAGTTAGAAGTGTTGCAAGGGTTTCCTAACAGGCAGCTTTCACTCAGCCATGCTGATTTCAAGAATAAGACCATTTACTAGAATAGACTCACCTTCCCATACCCGTTCTTTGAAGTATGAGGAGATATTTCTGAATACATTTGATCACTAGTTTCAAGGGAGCATGGTAAGTTTCACAGTGGAGTCCAATGAATAGAACTGCCCCAGCAAATTCCAAATGTAAATCAGTGCCATGCCAGAAACTGCCTATCCCCTGGTACAAGAACTGTGAGATGTGTGAAAATTGTGCTTTTAATCTTGGTGCACTGGTGACTGAATTAATCATCAGATTTATGTTCTGCTAGCACGTAAGGATCAACAAAAGTGGAGGTAGAACTTTTTCTGAAATACTGAAAGGTCAGGAAGACTAAAGATGGACAGAACTACTGAAAGAAAGGCACAGCGTGCAAAGCTGTTAGATGATATCTCAGTGCTGATTCCTATAGCATTCAGCTAATCCATAAACCTTACTTTTTCTTTATGTTTTAGATTGCAAATCTTAAAGAATTCCTGATCAAGGTCTCCTTGGTCCTTTCTAAAATAAGTTTGGACATTTAAAATATCTACCATCTTCTACAAATTAATGACGGGGCTTTTTTAAGTGTTCAGTCTTGATCTAGTTCTGCCTTGATTATAAGCTATGCTAAGCCCCTGCTGCTTTCCAGTCAGGGCAGTGTTTTGCTG